AAATATTAGAGTTATCTCGCTGAATTTGAAGAGCTTTCATTTTTTAACTTTTATCTAAAATATCATTATTATAAAGGTTAATGGAAATCTTATAAGTATGAAAATATAATGCATATCTGGCTGCATTCTTCATCTTTCTTTGATGACTATCAGTGAGAGGAATTTTGTCATATTAAGGTTCTCTATATTATTTATCTTGATCAAGATATATTAATTGAGAATAATAGTATCTTTTAATTTGATTTCTTTGAATGTTACTATAAAATGATCAAAAATGCTTCTTTAGATTTGTTCAGTCCTCCTGTTGATAATCTGAAAGAATGTGTTGATAATAATAACAATCAGAACTGTGAAAATTTAGAAAGTGAATATGGTATAAGATCTGACTTAATAATACTTTCAGAAATAAGACTAGGTGCTGAGTTTAATATTTCTTCTGACTTGAGATGTCATGATATTGACTGAAATTATGACTGCTATAAAGATCTTAGAATTTATTCTCTGATTTTGTTGCTAACTTTATAAAGTAAGCTAATAAGTTCACTACTTTTATCTATGCAGCTGTTCCTGATAATGCAGTAAATCTTTAATTTCTAAATATGAATTAAAGGATAGTATATAATCAAATTAAAACTTATTACACTATCTTGCTTACTAATCTAAAGTATGTTAAACCACTTAGACTTATTGTTTTAAATATTACTAATACTGAAAAATTGTATTTAATAAGATTGATTTAATGAAATTGCTCAAAATTATGATGTGCTGTTTTACCTATAATGCTACTTATCCTGACTAATGTTACTACTTTTAATATTTATAATTCTATAATATATTCATTATTTTCAATTTCATTATCTAATAAAACATCCAATTTATCTGACAAAATCTAAAATTGCAAAATTACATTATGTGAAGCATTTTATCATTAATGAATAAATATGATTAGAAGTCATATACTTGTATTGATTAATTTATGCTTACATCATATCTTTCCTAAATGTATAAATCAAGTATTTAATCAACTATCTTCAGTGCTTGATAAACTAATATACTCTTAATTTATAAATGAGATTCCTATTAAATAATGCTATTGCAATTTACTGACAGTTTGTAAGATCTTTTGACTTACTATTTTTAACATTTATTTTGTGATTCTAATGAGCAACGCCATTTAATATTCTTGTTATACTTGAAAGATGGTGAATTAACAGAGGATGATTGAAAACTACTTATTATATGATTTTCTAATTCTCTAGAAGTATTAGCTTCTTGGATCATACTCGATTTTTTAATACAATGTATCTTATGTCTTATAGGTCAGATATTAACGATTTTAATCTTAATAAACTCAGAACCTTGAATTTTTATATAGCTAGTATTGATGCAATTTATACAGGGGATGATAAAGCTTATAAGGCTGATTCAAATGTTGTGAAAGGCCTTGAATCTTATTTATTATTAGCAAGATGTTCAAGAGTTATACTCAAAACTAACCTATAGCTAAGGTAGGTTTGTTTGATTAATGGCTTAATTGATTCTAAGAAATAGTTTTTGAAGAGAATTAAGACTCATCTTCTCTTCCAATCCAGTGGAGGATAATTTTATGCCAAGTATGATACCAATATATCATATAACAGAAATTGAGCCTGGTCTGGTTTAGAATATAGAATTAATACTTATATTCTAAAGCAGGGATTAAGTCAAGGCTTTAATCGGAACCTTTTCTGAATACCTTTTAATTTTAACCCTAAAACCTTTCAAATTTGCCCAACTATCTGAATGACCTCAGAGTTCACCTTAAATTTGAACTATTTGATCTATCTATATCAGATCATCATATCATTGTACCAATTTTTTAAAATCCTATTTGTTAAAAGCAATCAACAATCAACCATTTGGTCTCAGATTTTCCTAAATAAGTACTTTAAAGTAACCTATAGTGCCTTATGACCTGCAACATTATCTCTATTTACAACATTACAGTGACTTTTGAAACTACAAAAAGTATCTCTTCATAGCACTTTCTAAAATTGCACATTCTTGTACACTCCTGTGAAATGAGTGTTATCCCTATCAGTTAGTCACCATCTATATATCAAAGCAAAATTATAAGAACATAAACCTAAATTGAAGATTTCAAAATAATTCTTGAATGATAGATTTGGTCTTTAATTGTAAATGCCTTAAACAAGGTTTATTCAACCAGGAAGAAGTAAATTAGGTATATCTAAATTGAGGATATCAAATTTTCAAAGAAAAAAAAAACAAAAAAAAAACATGTAAACCTTAAAATCTAATCAAATAACATTACATCAATCGCAAAAAATAAATCGTCATGTAAACATAAGTGAAAAGCCAAGCAAATTCCTAATTTAAAAGAAGAAGCTCTTTTAGAATCTTTAATTTTAAACCAAAATGAGCTAACAAATGAAGAAATAAAGGAAATGTTTAGATGAATGGAATTTAGGTCGAATTAAATAAGATATTTGATATCAAAGGAGAAAAAGAATAGCAATATCTACTAGCAATACTTTTAAGAATTCTACAAAGCGTGTAAAAAATAAATTAGAATATACATATAGGATAAGCAATTTATTATTATACATAAAAATAAATTATTACTTATCTCAGAATTTTCATATAAGAAGTTTCTAAAAAAAATAAAATTAAAGATAACAAGTTATTTTGCAAATACTTAAGCATAAAGTTTTTCGTTAAAAGCTAACTTAATAAAGAATCCTTCAAATTTATGTCAAAATATACCATCCTTATAATTTTTGCAGAAGTTAGACCAAGGTTTTTATAAATAAAATAATAATTTTTATAAGTAGAATAGATGTTTGTGTACCTACTTTATTATTTATGATTGGTCAGAAAAAATGTAACTTTGAACTGTTTGCAATATACTTAAGTTATATGATTTATAGTAACACAAGAAATCTAATTAGGATCGGCAAGCTTATATGATATGCACATCAACTGATATGAAAAGGAGGCACTTTTAATCAATATAAGTTGGAAATGAATGATTATTTTTAAAAAAGGAGGCTGGCAATTTGTAGTAAATTATAACTTTTTAAAATGGTCAAATTTATTGAAGTCTTTAAGTGTTATGCATTATACAATATAATGTTTTCTCCAAACATAACTAATATTTCTTATCTTCTTAAATCAGATCCAATTAGCATATAATATTTCATCCTCTACCAATTCTATCAAAATGACCTTTTATATCCTCTGAAAGATCAAAACCTGATATCCTATCCAGATAAAGTCGAATTTTTGCTAAAGAAGCTGCAATCTCAAAACCTCCTATTTTTATTACTATTGTTTGAAAAAATATTACAATTATCTATTTTCTGGCTGATAACCTGATCCTTTAGGACCTTCTCTTTTACCTATTAATGTATGAAGATGGGTTACTTTTTCTTCTAACTCATGAATTTCTCCTTCTAAGATAATATATGCTTCTTTTTTTGATTTACATCATGTAATACTATATGCAAAAGTTTCTTAAGTAATGTAATTTCATACTTAAAGAAGTTTTCTCATCTTAATGGCTATGATAATAATATCTTGTCAGGTTATAGTTTTATAGCAGGCATCTAGCTTCTTGGTAAGAGCTTTAAGCTTTTTATTAGAGATATCATATGTGACTATTTCATTAGTCAATTCTTTTTGCAAAGACAGATCCATGATTCTTATAATTCAAGTGAAGTTAGAATATTAGATATTTAATTTCTATTGCATTATGAAAGATTTATTATCAACCTTCAGCTTCTCTAAAAACAGGTGAAAGATTGGCTTGAGAGACAAGCTATACATCAGATTCATAAACCACAACCTAGAAAAATTCTTTAGCTCTATTACTACCTCAATGAAGTACATCAGGCAGATGTACTCTATATGCCTTATGATAATTTTTTGCTTTAATATAGTTTATCTGATACTAGAAGTGGTAAATATGCAGGTTATCTTGACTTCATGCACTATTGCTAGGGCTCTAAGGAGATATATGGGTTGATTGCTAGGAAAATCAGGTTCTGGGAATTTTTTAACAAAATTGAGATTTTTATTGCATTTTAGTTTTTGATGTTATTAGATTAAAATGTATTAAGCTTTTAATTTAAGTGAAAAATTTCTTGGAACCTGATTTTCCTAGAAACCCTCCCATATGATGATTCTGAATGTACTCTTATATAGCCAAAATTATTAATTATGGATAAGAGTATAAGTAATATTGCATAAATTTTCAGAAGCCAAATCTAAATACAATATAAGAATTGTTGAAAGATATACCTTGTTCTCTTAAGTTTAGGTAAAGTACCTTCCTATAATTTTAAAGACCTTAATAATTCTGCAACTCAGCAAATTAATATGATTCTGGCTGAAGCAATTAAAGAGAGATTGGTTAATGCTGATTCTTCTAACCTTGTAATGGACCTATGGTATATGATGAAGAGCAATTGGACTATAATACCTCTGTTAGATATTTACTTAAGCCTAGCAAGTTAGAGGGTGGTTAAAGACATACTGGGAATATGATTTGATCTCCTCAAGTTTACATTATACATGATTCTCTGGTACAAATAAGTCAGCTTATTCTTTATTAGATATCAGATAATGAAGGCAATGGCCCAAAAAGAACTTTTGTGAGAGAGGATTCCTAGTAGGTAATTACAAATTAAATTGATAACAGGAAGTCTTCTATTTTTTCATCAACTTGTTTTTCTGTAATGAAATATTTCTTAGCAAATTTATAGTATAATGTATATAGATCCATTAAGAATTCTTAGATTTTTGCTATAATAAGATTTGTAATCATCTATTATTTAGGATATGTTCATCAGAATCTTCATCCTGGCATAATTTTTTTACTCTCTCTTTATAATTCTACATAAATTTTCCATCCTTTGGTTTCTATAATATAAACCAGTGATGGGTTTTGAACACATTTTAGATTTTAATAGTTTTGGACAAGGTTTTGAACATAACTTTCAAAATTGTCTAAAATTGTCCAATTGCCTAACACTAATATAAATGGCCTTGACTATATTGGCCAGAACCTTTTTGACTTTCTAAGAAGTGAGTTTTGCTATACACTTTTCTATATAACATAAAACTTATACCTGTGACTATCTTTATAATTCTAAAAAATGGTATCCTTGTACTGAATGTGGTAAGCTTCTGCAGCTTGTGATCAATATTCTTTATAACATTGATATTATGTATGGTTTTAGCTCTAACCAAAAGTGTCCTACACTTATGCTTCAGATAATTACAGGATAAAGCTTTGAGATTAGATCTTGAATATACTACACCAAAGGTGAGGCTTAACATATATATCTCCCAAAGGTAAGACTTAGGTAAGACTTAGTAACCCTAAATATTTTCCTTTTAGAATTAATTCTAGAATATCACAAAAATTAGTATGTGTTTTAGGCTTGATAAGTTTTACAAAGAATACCCTCAAATACTTCAGTCCTTGATGTTTTTTGCTTCATAATATGTTGATATACAAAAGATTAGCTTCAAACACTTTGGTGCTTGCTAATCTTGCATCATCTCAAGCCCAAACAGAATAGTATATTTATTATGATATCCTGATTGGGCTATAAAGCGCTATAAAGATTGTATAAATTGTATAATTCATAGCTTTCAAATCCTCAATTTATATTATGAATTTTCGTATAGCTAGAAGGCTTTTAGAATAATGATTAAAAAAATATCTTGATAATGGTCAGAGGTTATAGTGATTTTGAATGGTGTTTGTAAGAATAGGATGTGACAGTCATTATGGCTGAAAAGTGATTATTCTATTCAAATTTGGCAGTGGTTCTGAGGTGTTAAAGATCTATCTTTGAGTTCTAGGATCTGAGTATCTATGGAATTTAAGTCTAATCATAACTTTATTAGGCAATTTAGTGACATAGTGTGAGACAGTCTTAAAATGCTTAGGACATGAGATTAAGAAGAAACATAAGGTGGATCAAAAAGGTAATTTTTGTATCACAGAAACAATTAGTTGTTAAATAATTAATAGCATAGATAATTGGATTTCTTTTTCATATTATACATTTATTTTGTAAAGAAAATTTTACAGTTTACATATTAAAAGATATAGAGATTAAGCATTTCTCTTCAGCTATTCTTTCTTTAATCTCTTACAAGTTTTTAATATATTAAAGTCTTTTAAAAGAAAATAGACTAAAAAGAATATTTTCAAGAGTACAGACCTGAGACATTGCTACAAATGAGAGGTTAGCAGTAAACTCCTTTATTTAAAATCTATAATGGCCTTTTCTAATGTAAAGTTCTGACTCTTATAAACTATTATTGACTACATAAGACATACAGGTATTTAGAAGCAAGAATAAGGAACCTTTTTACCTTCTCAAGTATATCTAACTGATAAAATTAAAATAAGTCTTTTATTATTTTTAATCAATATAGTAAGACCTGAATAATTAAGCCCAAATTAAATCCCAACTAATATATCAAAAATTATACCATTTTATTTGCTATTGTGAAAGATTGAAAATTCTAAAGCAATCCATAAAATGAATCATAAGGTCAAAAGGTCTTATCTGTGTATACATATGCTATTGAGGTTATAGTATACCAATATATACTAGGAAACAGGAACTGTTATGCATCTAAAGCATTAATTTACATCATTTAACTATATAATAGAAAAAGTCAATAAATAAATTTAATGCAACACAAGATTTATATTAGTTAATTTGTGACAGACAAATGGACATTACATGGTTTTGACTATAACAGAAGTGTCCTTTGCTAGACTTTAAGTTTGCTTAAGAAAAACATTCTAGATAATAATTTAATGAAAACCTGTAATATATCAAAATTATAATACATTGCTTTGAAAAAAGGTTAAATTCTGAATAAAACAAAGCTAATTTTTAAGCTCTAAATTATACTAATCATTCTAATCATTATCTCAGAGCCTATTTACATCACATTCAGAGTATAGCTGGTACTTTCTGGTTCTATTTTCTCATATAATTCAAAAATAAAAAAAAATAGTAATTGAATAATAGGCCTAAATAATATAAGCTTGGGTTACTGGACTAGAACCTGTCTCTGAATTCATTGATTATATTCTCATATTTCTATCTCATAGTAAGTTTAACTACTTCAGGAATCCTCTGATCTATCATGATCTCCTAGATCATCTTCTAAAATGCTCACTAGGCTTTTGAATATTCATTAATCATATTTGGGTTGATTGCTAGGAAAATCAGGTTCTGGGAATTTTTTAGCAAAATTGAGATTTTTATTGCATTTAGTTTTTGATGTTATTAGAATAAAATGTATTAAGCTCTTAATTTTTAGTCAAAAATTTCTTGAACCTGATTTTCCTAGAAACCCTCCCATTTACTGGAAGAGTTAGAACTATTTTAAACTATTTACAATTCAAGGGATTGAGAAGGAGACTTGGAAGTGCAATACATTGATTTTTATTACTTTTGTAATTTTGATGAAGTTTAAAAGCCTTAGGCTTTATAAAATGTTAGCTAAACATCATATTTATAAGATAACTGCTTCACAGGTTTTTTAGCAGATCTACAGAAGATTCTATTAATTTAATTCAAAGTTATCTATATTTGCTATGATATATTTATTTTAATCCACTTTGTTTTAAAGAAGGGTTATGACAAGTAATTCTGATGTTCATAGATGATTCAAATTCTACTTGATCATTAAAGTTTGCCATAACTAAAATAAATCTCAATAACTTATGAGATTTAGATTTACAAACATCTGATGCTTGCTTTAGGTGGTTGTACTTGCAATCTACAACATATTATTCATATAAACTAAAGCCAGAATTTTTATAATGGGAAAGATTCAATTTGTAAAGATAAATAATTTGAATAAATAACATTTACTTGTTGTTTAAATGTATCATCAATTTCAAAAATCAGTTTTTTTTGATGATGTATACTTGCACTTTTTGAAAATGATGGGCAACTTCAATTTTAATATCCTGCTTATTAGTGAAATAAGGGCTGAGTCAAAAGGTTACTATAAAAATCTTCTATACAAGTTTGCAAGGTAGATTGCTTTTAATTTTAAAATTCTTTTTTTATAACTTTGCTTTAACATTTCTTTTGAAGTTTAAACCTTCTAACATTTTATATAGATAAATTAAATGCAATTTTCTTTGTCATTTGGCATGATTTTCAAAAAAAAATTGGCAGCAATTACTCTGCAGTTGTGTGGTTGTGTGATATGCTCAACACACAGAATAGTACAGGGTGGCAATTATAATATTTCTTAGATGTTCAAAAGGCTAATAAATCAGCAGGTTTTTATAGAGATCTATTATAATAGTATGAATTGAAAAGAGCTGAAAATACATCATGTATTCTTAACGAACATCAAATAATTAGTACTAATCTTTTGCAAAAGGCTTCTTAGAGAAATGTTAATTGTGATCTGTATTCAATCTGAGGAAGAATAATAGTATTGTAGTTGTAAGTCAGCCAATATTTTCTTCATTATAGTGACTGTGTTTTTAACTCTTCATAAATTTGATTTTTGACAAATCTTAGATTTTACAAAGGAGCAGATCATAATATATATATCATAAAATAGTTGAATAAATGAAATTGGATCATTCTGTTTAACATTGTCAATAAATATATATGCGAGTAGGAAACAAGAAAAGCTGTAAGATTTAATCATTTTGTTAGAGAAAGATTATTGATAATTCAGTACCATTTGTCAGCAGTTAATAGTAAGTTAACAAATTTGTAAACAATGTTGTGGTCCTGTTACTCGTTGAAAATTTCTTAAATATTTTTCTAAGCAGGAGTTATTAACTTTCATTTACAGTTAATTAAAGACCAAATCTATCATTCAAGAAGGATTATTTTAAAAATCTTCAATTCGGGTTTATGTTCTTATAATTTTGCTTTGGTATGTAATCCTGAAAGTAAAAAAGATTAACATGACAAATGGATGGTGATTGACTGATAGGGATAACAGAAGGTTGCAAGCCATAAGGCACTATAGGTTACTTTAGAGCAAATATACAGTACTTATTTAGGAAAATCTGAGACCAAATGGTTGACTGTTGATTGCTTTTAATAAATAATAGTTTTGGCAAAATTGAATGAAATTTTCAGTAGACATTTTTTGGCCATTGTATAGGATTTTAAAAAATTGGTGCAATGATATGATGATCTGATATAGATAGATCAAATAGTTTCACTTTTGATCAAATTTAAGGTGAGCTCTGAGGTCATTCAGATAGTTGGGCAAAATTAGGAGGTTTTGGGGTTTCAAAAGGTATTCAGAAAAGGTTCCAATTAAAGCCTTGACTTAATTCCTGCTATAAAACGTATATTCTAAACTAGACCAGGTTCAATTTCTGCTATATGATATATTGGTATCAAACTTGGCATAAAATTACCCCACTGGATATCATCTCTTATAAACTTTCAAGCCCGATTAAATTCTAACTAATGTATCAAAAATTATACCATTCTAATTGCTATTGTGAAAGATTAGGAGCTTGAAGGAGCTTGAAAGCTTTGAAAAGTCTTCAAGTATTATGCAAACATAAAATGTTAGAATTAACTCTAAGGCAATCCATAAATGAATCATAAGGTCAAAAAATCTTATCTGTGTATACATCTGCTATCAAGGTTTTAGTATACCAATACATACTAGGGAACAGGAACTGTTATGCATCCAAAGTGTTAATTTAATCACTTAATTATATAACTGATTTTTATATAATGCTAATTTGTTAACATGGCATCACATGAAGAAAATTAAAAATAGGTTAAATTCTGAATAAAACAAATCTAATTTTTAAGTTCCAGAGCCTATTTACAAATTAGATCATATAATAACCTCTAATATGTAAGTGACATTAACCTTACATTCAGAGCATAGCTGATGCTTTCTGACTCTATTTTCTCATATACTTCAAATATAAAAAAAATTAGTAATTGAATAATAAGTCCTAAATAATAGGTCTGCTAAGATATCACCTATCTTGAAATATATTTTAAATTTTCCAGACCAGCTGCTTTATCATTAGAAAGACCTGATAAATTAATAACTACTTATCAAAATAAGGGTTGCATAATACAGTCAAATCTTTATATATTAAAATGAAATCTAACTTCTATTGATCTCTTACCAACTAAAACACTATTATAACATCAAAAGCTTTTGTAAAGATTAAAGAATAAATTAATAAATAGTCAATCAAATATTATATTTACCAATGTTATCTTTAGTATGAAAATAATCCTGACAAAATGTATTTGCTTTAGGTAGTTCCAAAAGATCAATTACACTTGATTGACTTTTAATAAATGATAATAACTTAACTTTTGACAAAATGGCAAGACCTCTCAGGAATTTATAATAAAGTAGAATAAAAATAGCACAAATGTGAATTGTGATATTTTGGCCAAACATAATATGCTTAAAGAAAACAACTTTACAAGTCTCTCAAAAGGATCAATAGAAACCTGATAAATCACTTATAAATGCATCTTTTTTAAATGCATATTTTAACTTGGTCGAATTAGTACACTTTACTATTTATATTATGCTCTAATCTATTATTTTTGTATAAATAAATTTATAATAAAATTTGCATCATCTTATATATTATATTTATTAAAAATAAAAAATTAATAAAATGTTCATTAAAGCATACTAAGAGAATAAGCATCCTAAAAAAAATTCTTTACAACATAAATACCTTTGCTATGATCTTCATAATAAGATGATTTTTATAATACTTATCCAATTAAATAGAATATTTATTATAATATTTTTAGTTTAATAAATCATATTTTAAAGGAATATATTTATAGAAATTGATTATAATAATTGTAAAATATATTTTATGTGAATTTTTATATCAGTATGTAATTTTAGCAGTGCAATCATACATATAATTTTTTTTAAAATATATACATTTATACAAATTCTACAAAGAAATGCAAAAATCTTACATAGTCATACAATTTTGTATAATTAATATGGGGTCTTTGCAATAGAAAGAGAGGAAACTCCAAAAAAATTAAAATTTTAGTTTATAAGCCAAAAATGTTCTAAATACTATAATTTGTTCAGATTTATTATTAACTCATTTTTTATTTTTTTTTGAGTTTCCTCCCTTTCTATTGCAAAGGCCTCATATATTCTGTTGAATTTTTTTACTAATTCTCAAAATTAATATGGATGGATTTTTAAAAAACTTCTAGTGGATCATTAAAAAATAAAAGAAAACAAAATTAAAAAGCTAAAAGCTATTTCAAAAGAATAATAACATACAACACAGAAGAATATCATAATATTAATAGAAAAACTCTTATAATTTGTACTATATGTGAAAAAGCTGAATATAAAATCAAATGACCAAAGGTTTAATTAATTAATATATTAAATCAAGAATACGTTCTCTTAGAAATGCTAGAAAAATAGGATAACTTAATATACTAACTATAAAGTATGTCTCAAATTAGCAATAAAAAAAAAATAATTAATCAAATTAAATGCATTTATTTTTTAGCCAAAAATCATCTTTCACTAAATCTTTATTCCAAAACTTCTAATATAGATTATATCAAAATCCAAGATATGCATAAAATTTGAAGCTATTATATATGTAATTGAAAAGGCGTTAATTGATTAATAAATTTACAACTATTAGCGAAGAAAACATTTAGTAAATAATGTTCCTATACTATGTTATTTAAGATTGATAGAATTTGATGATCATAATGTAAATAATATTATAACTAAATAAAGTTTTTTAAATAATTATTAGAAGCAATAGTACTTCTGTTATAATAGGTTAGCTATTAAGAAGTTTATTAAATTTAATTAAATTATAATTAAAAAAGGAAACTCTATTTATGACTTCTATACATTGTATTGTATTATTGCTCATAAAATTAAAGAAGGTGCAATGTCAAGTGATGATTTTTATGATTTTATAACCCAGGATTTAATATGTATTATAAAACTTTAATTATTATTTTTTATTTTAATATTATATAATAAATATATTTTAATAATAATAATTAATTATTTAGCTTTCAGTTATGGATCCTTTTTCAGAACCCAGAAGCATTTTAGTTATGGATAATACTTCAATTCATAAAACTTTTAAAATTCAGGAAATTTTAGTTGAATATGAAATAATAATTAATTAATTTATTTATTTAATTTTAATTAAATTTTAAATTTAATAGATCAAGCAATGTTTATTTTATATTAAATCATTTCTTAGAAGATATAATGAATGGGTAAAGAAAGAACAAGATCTTTTTTATATTTTAAATATAGCATTTAGTGTAATTGAACCAGAAAAAGTAAGAGCTTGTTATCATAATGCAGGATATTAATATATATATATTTTATTTATTGAATTATAATTATGATAAAAAAAAAATAAAGTATTCAAATGATACATAATCCTAATGCTACTAAAATTCTTATACAATGCCCTAATTTTGTTATACCAATATCTTTTAGTTGTTTCATATTTAAATATGATAATTCTTTAACAATATATCCATGATAGATAAATTTATTTTCATATTCTAGAAAATTTTCACCTAAAGTTTCCAAAGATTCTGCAATTAAATGATATGGTGATTCCATAGTAGGTAAATAAGAATGCTGATATGCATTATCATAAGGATTATTATATTGAAATGTTGTATTCTAGGATTATTATATTGTGTTGTATTGTAATATTGTGATGTTATACTATGTATATTTGGTAAATTTATATAATTAGGATTTGTTGATGATAGATATGGAATTTTTTTAAAAAATTTGAAGACTGTTGATCAATTGAAGTTTTCTTTTTTTTTAGAAATTAGTGGTAAATATATTAGCAATAGTGGTGGTTTTGCTAAAGTTGTTTTTTTTTGTTCGTCATCTACCTATAAATGAAAATAGAATTAAAAAATGTATTAATTTATAATATATAATTAATTACTATTATTATAAACTTACAATATATGATGCTCATACTTTTAACATTGATTCAGTTAAAAATACATACTTTTCTGTATCATCACTATATATTGTTAAACAATATTCTTTGTGACATTTATTACATTTAGTTTTACAATAAACCTTATCTAATATATCTTTTAATTCTTTTTTTCTTTTTGTATCTAATGTAAAATCTGAAGCAATTTATACTTATTTTTGCTTTCAAAAAAAAAAAAATTAATAAATAATTAATAACAATTAACTAATTTATTCTTTTTGTCTTTTTCATTACCTAAATATTGAATTTATTAAATAATATATAATAATTATAAAAGGAAAAATACTTACATTTTTCTGGTAATAATTCTAAACAAAGAACTAGATTCTTCTTTTTTGAACCTGACACACAAGTTATAAAAGTTTTAAGGGTTTCTTCATCAGTAATAGCTAAATGTGAAGCTCTAGCTGTTATTCTATCAATATAATGAAGTATTTCAAAATTATTTTATCCTTGATGATTTGTAAAATGCCACTAATGATTTGTTGATTTTTAAGAACTTGAATTTCGATTTCTTGGTTAGTTCTATAACCAGTTTTAGTTAATTTTATAACTTTAATATTTAATGTTTTTACAATTAAAATAAAAGTAAAATTTAAGTATTATATTAAGTAAATAATTATATATAATACCTTGTGATTTGTTTGTTTGTTTTTTTGCAGCTAATAATAAATACAAATGCAGTATTCAAAGTATTTAGAAAAATCCACTATAACCAGCCACATTATTTCTTCCTGTACATAATAGTCTATAGAATTTACTTTGTTTAGATAATATTTTCTTATCATAAAATTTTTTGTACTGGGTTAATCATTTAAACATTTATGACCTTTAGAGTATACATAACACTAACATATTTTACATTTATCACATACTATACAAGAATTTAGTCATAGTTTATAACTAATAGAAGTGTTTTTATTAAGAGATTCTTCACAAACTATATTTTTAATGTTCATTTTATTAAAATAATGAAAATAAAACGCATAAAATTAAATTTGCAAAAGAATTTAGTATTTAATCAACAAGTATAATTACTATTTATAGTATATTAATAATAAATAAGCATCAGTTTATATAAAAGGAATCAACTATTCAATACTAAAAATTGCAATTTAAAAATAAAGAGGATGTACAAATATGAAAACAGCTATAAGGCTTAAAAATAGATTTCTGAATTCAGAAATTTATAATTCACTAAGAATTTTTGATCTCTTAAAGAGGTAATATTGCAATATTTTGGAAATAAACATCTTTCAGATACTGAGTGAAAATAATTCTACAAAATTTAATGAAATCAATTTATAACATTAATTTTGTAAAGAATGGGATCACAAAAACTTCATTTTACTAAAGATTATTTGATTATGTTGAACAGGTATTTTCTCGTTATAAATTAACTAAGATAGCAAATGAACCATAATATATTAAATATGCATTTAATGATATATTCAAATAGTCCTAATGATTTTCATAGTTTTAATCAGGAATGTGCATATAATTATTAGATATATCAATAAATATATTTAGCATATTAATAAATAGAAATTATATATTTTCTTTTATTTTTTAATTTAATATATAAATTTACTGTAAAAATTCAATTAATAAAGAACATTTTTTAGCATATATGGGAGGCGGTCAGTAGAAAAGGGGAAATCAAACTTTTTAGTCAAAAGTTTTTTATTGGTTCACTCTGCTGATCATGATCATGTGAACAAAATTATCTTAATAACTAAAATTACTCAAAATTTGTAGATTTCCCCCTTTCTATTGACCGCTCCCCATATTTCTTACAAAAATCTTTTTGCACACATTTACAAAACTTTTTAATTTATAGCTGAGCATTTTTACATACTATATATTAATATTTTTGCATATAAGAGGTTTACTAGAAAAATAGGGCTCAGACTTTTTCACTGAAATTGAAATATTAATCTATCCCTTCAACTGTTATGCCTACAAATTTGTAGGCAATTATATTATTAATTAAAAATTAATACTTTTATAATATTTGACAAAGACTTTCCTTGCATTCTAATAAAGTAATTGATCTGGTTATATTCTCAGGGTTTAGGCTTAGGAATTGGATAAATATAAGCTAAGTTCCATCTGGCTAGGACAGAGGAGATTTGGAGACACCTACTTATAGGTATTTTCTTGCTTTGGGACTAAGGTATTTGAGTATTTCATTGGAAATCTTTGAAGGTAACCTTATCATTTTCTGCGACTTGTTGAAAGTGTCTTTTGACTTCATCTTTAATGTTAACTTCTTCAAAGTAGTGGTTCTGGACTGAAAGGATTCTTAGATGCATTTTGTTTTAAATTATTATTTCTTGAGTTTAGCTTCAACTCAAAAACATACTAATAAAATTTTAGTATCTGAGAAGACAGAATTAATAATATCAATGTGAGGATTTGAATTTAGTGTCATCACATTTAAGTTATTAAAATGAGTGATACTAATAAACTTATTATAAAGAGTTGTCCACTCAGAGGACATGACACAGGTGATAAGGCACTTTTTGGTCAGTTTGTAAAGTTTTAATCTTTTTGTAAGTGGACAATAAACTGATAAGGCGTTTTTTATAATAAGAGGATCTGGTTTTACTTATAGATATGCAGGCTTAAGCAGCAGCAATAAATGAATCATAGAGTAAGTTTTAGGATTGATTCAGTGAAGACTGTATCAGACGGTTGTATTATTAAGGTCCTGAGCAAGCTGTGCTTGGTTATGTTGTCTGCTTCATTTGAGAATAAACAAATGAAATTTTCTGGAAATAATGTCTGTCATTTGTAAAGACTTTTAAAAAATTGGACATTGAAGCAATGACAATCAAATGGTCAGAAACTGAGGATCAATATGAAGTTTGATATTTGAAAATGTTTAATGTTAATTTTGGGATCATCAAATATAATCAATATGTGAAGTGAAGTTTGAATAAGAAAATGCATTAAAAATATCAAATAAATTGTATCTCGATAAAGAATTCATAAAATGGATCAAATCCCCTAATAAAATAATGATAGTCATCTCTAATAGCTTCAGAGAGAACATTAAAAACTAATAACTTTTGTTTGTCAGTGAATAAACGTGTTTGGCAAGCTTAGAACTGAAGGAGAGGCTGATACTAATCCCGCTAGGTTGACTTTCCTGGTTGATGCTGAAAAATGAAGTGAATTGTGAAAATGATTGGTTGAAAAATGAGGAAAGGTTAGAATTAAAATTTGTTTCTTTAAAGGCCAATAATGTCAAGATCATGTGTAATATAATGTGTATTAAATAGAGGTTGTAAAATGATCTAATATTATGAGATATGATATCGATATATAGTAATGGATTGTTTATTATAGGAACAGTACTCATTATAATATTAGATATTTTGTATAGGAAGCTACTGAGATAGCATGAATATTTGTTAAAAATAAGCACAAGTATTGGAAAGGTTACTGAAAACAGTGGTGAAAGAGGAGATTTACTGTTGTTGTTAGTAACAAATCGTGATTAATTTTAGAGGCATCAATGTGTAGAGGTTTTTCATCTGCAGATGAAGCTTCAGGAGAAAGGGTTTGGGGTTTGGGTTGTACACTTCAGCTTCCATAGGGATAACAACATTAATGTCAAAAGCTTTTTCTAAAATACTGAATCTTTCTTGTAAAAAGGTAATGACTGCAGTAAGGGTTGTGAGCTTCTAAGTAATGGTCTCAAGTTGTGATATTACTAACTTTTAAAGTTAAGATCATACATTGATCCATCATGGAACATGCTTTATTATTATTGTTTGACAGTTTAGTGTTAGTCTAGCCTAAAGGTGATGTTGCGCTTTCTTGAGGTTATTTTTAGGCACTGTGTAATTGTTAAATTATGCTGGTTGGAATCTCTAATATAAATTTTATATATTATGATACCTCAGGGTTTGTTGCATATACAGTCAATGCTCTTTATAACGAACTGATGGTTCCATTAAAAAAAAAAAGTTTGTTATATAAATTACTATGCTTTTTATATGAACCATACACTTTTTATAATAAACTATAAAATTTAAAAATTGTAAGTTTGTTATATCCAGCATTCGTTATAAAGAGGTTTGTTATAACCAACCTTTAACTGTAACTTCTGCTTGAAGTCAATCCATACTAAATATTTGCTATTAAGTGTAAAGTCAGAAATTACCTTAGCTGCCTCATATAATGCTGCAGAATTGAAGTAGAAGTATGCATTGAGATAATTGTAATTTGATCTTGCACAAGGGACGATCTATGCTATAGCTTTTGATATACATCTAATGTTCATAAGATCATGTGAAATGGTGTTTCTTGAAAGGTTGGTGAATTTGATGGAATGTTTAGATCTTTCTTGAATAGTATTATGTGATGCGTTACTTCTGTGAAAATGGATTATATTGTTTAAAAGAAAAATGCCATCTTATTTATCAAATTTCAGTGAAGTTGGTATCTTAGTTAAAGGTTTCCATGGTAATTCTAGTAATATTCTCATATTAGAAAAAATAATTTTTTAGGAAGAGTGTGGTATCTAATGGGATTTCAGTTACTGTAATCAAGAGTTTGAAAATATATGAATCCTGACATTGAATGACCAATGGGAGGATGTGACATTTTTCATTTGAGGAATCTGCACCTTACAAAGTCGTCTTGTTTTTCTTTATTTAAAAAAGCAATTTTAAGGATTGTTTGCTTAAGATATACTGGAGATTTGCTACTGAAAAGAAAGGAGATCCATGCAATGTTGATCTACAATGTCAGCGATCTTTTGCTTTTGTATTTTTCAAGAAGGCAGTATGCAAAAAATGTTTCTGAGTCTTTGATTAGTAAAAGCGAGTATATCCTTTTCAGTAGTGACAAATTTTCATGTTCATATTGTATATTGTTAGTTAGTGGTAAGTTGTTATTTAGTAGAAAGACTTTTTTGGCTTTTTCTTTGTCAGTAATTAAGGAGTTTTGACTAAAGTGTTGTCAACTTTCATATTGCTGTCTGGAATTCGAATTATCTGTAAGAATATTGGAAGATGTTAGTTTAACTGTCTGGGCTATATTTTGTTTCTTTGCTAGTTGTTTATTGTTGTTTATTGCTAACTGGTGATGCAAAGCGACTGCAGTTGGGTTTTTTATTTCTGCTATTAATTGGCATATTGTTGGAAAACAGAAAGATTTTTTATTTATTAAAATGAATAATTATTTTTAAAGTGTGGTAGTTCCAATGATCTTTATTATGATAAATGCAAAATTATAAAAAAATCTTATTAAAAAAGATACTGACCCTGCACTCCTCCGAATAAATTCTAACCTAAGCTAAAACTATCACTTTTGAGGTATTATCATTGACAGGGAGAGCATAATGGAGATCAAAACCAGAGGAGACAGTTCTCATTCTTTTGATCAATGTTAATATTTGCAGCTTTTTCAAGGTTGGATTGGATGACACATCTTTTGGTTCAAAATTATTGGGTTTCAAAGAGCAGGCAGTATATTGCTATGAACAGATATCTAGGAATAATACCTTTAACAAGAACTAAAAAGGATAGTACATTGGTAATGACTTCATTTCATGATAAAGCCAAATATAATAAAAGTCTTTCTCAATCACATCACACCTGAGGCATAAAGATGAGGATGAGAATAATGATAGGTGTCTAATTTTTAAAACCTCAGTTGTAGGTAACATTCCAAGAAGCTGATAGTATTTCTTTTTTGGTAATATATGTTGTATGATTAGGAAGAAGGTAGCAAACTAATGAGGTTGAAAAATATGTTGGTGTTTGGAGATTACATGAAGTTGGATAAATTATTGTAACTGTTTTTGTTGTGAATGGGAAGTATGTTATGAGTGTGAAAACTTTTAGGAGCAGTGATGTAAGTGCAGTAGTATTTAAAAATGATCTTACTTTGTTATTGAAGAGGTCATCTGAGTGTGCTTTGACTTTGATCAGTGATACGTCAAGGTAGTTACCATTGATTAACTCAAAAAGACAAGACTAATGCACAAAGTTATTGATTTCAAAAAGGGTCTGAAAGTTGGAGACTGTTTTAGAAGAAAGTTGTATTTGTTATATTGTGAGATGATAACTGCATAGTCTGTATATACTGTTACTTTGCAATTGATAGGGGTAGTAAACAGGGCTGTGAAGAGAGCTATAAATTCTGGTAATGAAGAAAATGGAAAACTAGTAGAGAAAGATGTATTGAAGCGAATCTGGATGTATTTGTAGCCAAGCAAGACTCATTCTAACTGAGAGAAAACCAACGTCTTTTAGGGAACTATCATTATAAAATGCTAAATCTGTGAACAAAAGAAAAAAAGATGAAAGAGTTAATAATTTAGATTTATGTGAGGAGGAAATAAATTTATCAATAAAAGAATTAAATGATGGAAGAGCATAAGGTCAGGGTATATGTAGGGATTGTGGTTGAGACAAAGAGACTGCATAAGAGCTAGTTCGTTTAGTGCACCAACTGACAAGACAGTGGAATTATGCTCATAGTTATAATTATTAAAAAATTTCACACAATATTTATGAGAAATTGTAAAATAGCAATGGATAGGACGGCAGGAATATAGGACCAACTTAATACTGTAATCAGAGCCTTTTTATAAATTTGATGTTTAATACAAATGGTATCTCATTCTACTTGAGTTATTCTTTCAAGAACAAAATTGTTAAATGATCTATTACTAGAAATGAGATTGTTTTGGCAAAGATTGTATCCATAAAACTGATTGTGAAAGTACGGTCTAGAAATGAATCTATCAGAAGAAGGTTGTAGATGTTGTTCCATAATAACAAACCATTTTGGTGTCTAAGCGAATCTTGTATATTGGTGCATTATTT